AATGGTCTTTTGTATGGGAAATAAATCAATCAATTATAGTATAAAATAGCGAATTTATATTTGGTATTTGTTTGATAGTTGTTTCTATGGAAAATAAATTAGTCAATATATGGTATAAAGTGACAAATTTATTTAGGTTATTTGATATTTTTTTTTTTTGGGTAAGAAATTTGCTATGAAATTGATCAATATATGGTATTTTTTTTTTCATTTTTTTTTTGTTTCTGAAATGTGCAAACAAATATATTGGTTTTTGGTGTGGTTCTCAATTTTTATTTCAATTTTTTGTATGAAATTATCATAATGAAATTACTGTAACTTCGACAAAATAATATGAATGAATATTTTGATATAATGTGCGTGTGTCGATGTTTGTTTATAGGAAATGCTATGGTCAGTTTTTATTTGTATAATCAGTAGATCTCTATTTAATTCATTTTTTGTTGCAATATTTTAATTAACTTTTTGTGTGAAATGCACTGTTCAATTTTTTTAGCACAATAAAGAATGTCTCAATTTTTTTGGTATAAAATATTTGAACAATATTATGACCGGTTATTTACGAATATAATAATAAGGTTGGATAAATAGCCTTAACACTGTCCACCTCGTGCATAACAGGAGATTCGTATTAGTTATCTTAAATAGTATTTAAAAATTATCTTGTAAAATTTTATGTGGGCCTGATTTATTCACCCAACACCATTATGAGGTTTTTTTCAAATAATGATTTAATTTTACAAGAGTTTTTTTTTTCTTTTCTTTTCTTTTCTTTTTACTACTCGACTTTACAAGATTTTTTTTTATTTATTATGGTTTATTTATATTTTATTTTGAATGATCGTTTATTTTATTTGTAAAAGTTTTAGTAAACATATAAAAGAGCCATAATTAATGGAATGTAGACGTGACCTTAAGGGAATTTCAATACTGGATTCGACATGTGTCAATCATGGGCCGTCCACGTCCATGAGAACTATGCACTTGATCAAGTGCAAAACAATGTTAAAAATTCAATAGTATTAAAAAATTTGACTTGGACGTGCAAGATCAAGGCTGGCACGTAGGAGACATTCTGTGTTAGTTTTTAGCGGTTGAAAAAGCCTCTGCATGCTACTTTCCCGCTAAACAAAAATATACAGAGAAAAAAAAATGAAGTCTTTGTTCCCTTTTCCCCAAAAATAGAGAGACTTTCTCTTTTTTCCTCCATTTCTTGTTGCTCATCTCTCTCTGACTCTCTTCTCGAAGGTTCATTTCTTTGTGATCCCTTTTTCTTGAAAATTGTTCTATTCGTGAGCTTTCGATTTGGTATTATACATTACTGTCGGATAATCTGATTATGTATTTCTTTCTTCTTGATTGATTTGGCCTAACGCTTTATCTTTATATGCAATTGTAGGAATTTGCCTCTTCGAAAAAGTTGCAAATGTAAAACGTTGATTCGTGTGAAGTTTGCCTAGTTTGCAGCCGTTAAGATTGGCGTGCGCCCCTAACAAAAAATCCGAGCAAGGATGTTGTGTTGTGGAGGTGCAGAGGAGGAACCCAACGGTGGTCCTCCGGCCAATCAATTCTCGGCCCCACCAAAATCCGGTAATAACCCGTATTCTGGTGGTGCCGGTGGAGGTAACTTTTTTTCTATACGTAGTTCCTTCTTTTTTCATCTGCATATCTTAAATTGATCAATGTTTGAATTTAATCCTATTGATTCAAGTTACTTTCTTAAAGTTAACATTTTTATTTGATCATCATCTATTGTTTTTCTATTTCCTGTTTTTGGTTTAC